TTGTGTGTGTGCTTTAGGTGAAAGTTTGCAGCTAAAGTTAATGTCTCATACAAAAATTTATACACATATTTTTCATGACATTGGTTGCAATACCCACAATGTGACAGCACACTCCCCTTTCCACCTTGGGTTCCTTGTGTCCCTTCATTCTTCCTTTCATTCAGTTGAAAATATTTTTCGAGGCAATATTCTTGGCTTAAGAGACCCAGTGGAAATTAATTATTTTGGTAGTTGTTCCAAGAAATTGTAAGTAAGTGTATTACACACACACACAACCATTGCCATAGAGTCAATTCTGACTCATAGTGACCCTACAGGACAGAGTAGAACTGCCCCATAGGGCTTCCAAGGGAGCGCCTGGTGGATTTGAACTGACAACCTTTTGGTTAGCAGCCAAACTCTTAACCACTACGCCACCAGGGTTTCCGTAAATGTATTAGCATACTTAAAAAATTTGAAATGATTATATCTATGTGATGGTTGATGTTATGTATCAACTTGACTAAGCCACGATTCTCAGTATTATGCAATTATCCTCCATTTTGTGATCTGATGTAAGAGTTTCCGTGGAGGATGTGACCTGCACCCAATATACGCCGATGTTCTGGAAAAGCTCCCTTGCTCTTGATCCTGCATCTGACTCGTCATCCTCTGACCTCTGGCTCTTGGGACGTGAGCCAGCAGCCTACCGCTTGACCCGCAAATTTTGGAATTCGCCAGCTCCCACAACCCTGTGTGCCAGCAGCCTTCTTCCTGACCTGCCTGTTTTGGGTTTGTCAACCCCTGCAACCACATGAGTCAGGATAAGCCTCCAGCCTGATGTTTGACCCACGGGTTTGGGACTTGTCAGCCTCCACAAGTGTGTAAGCCATTTCCTTGAAATAAATCTGTCTCTCTCTCTCTCTACACACACATATATATATATATATATAAGAGCTTCTCCGTCGCTTATTTATCTTACCTCCCACCTGCTCCCTGTTTTGAAGCTTATAAACCCTTTCACACGTTATTTTACTTTGATTATGATAAAACCCATAAAACAATGCACACAGGATTATGCTTAGAACAGCTTTGGAAAACCATTTTGTGTAGAGGATGTTTTTTCCTGGGTCCCTGTTATGGATTAAATTGTGTCCTCAAAAAAGATACGTTCAAGTCCTAACTCCCAATACCTGTGAATGTGACCTTGTTTGGAAATAGGGTCTTTGAGGATGTTATCAGGTAACGTGAGGTCGTACTGGAGCAGGTGGGCCCTAATCCAATATGGTGTCCTCATAAAAGAGAAGAGACACAGAAGGAAGTTGGCCACGTGAAGCTGGAGGCAAAGGTTGGAGTGGGGAAGCCACAAGCCAAGGAATGCCTGGAGCCACCAGCAGCTGGAAGAGACAAGGAAGGACTCTCCCCTAGAGCCTTTAGAGGGAGTGTGGCCTGGTCCACACCTTGATTGTAGACTTGGGCCTCCAGAACTGTAAGAGAATGTATTTCTGTTGTATTAAACTGCCCACCCACAGTGGACCTCGGAGCCGCCTGAGTCCTCCTGCCCTTTGTGGTTCTTTTTTATGGCCGACCCAGGAAACTCATGGAGTCCCTAAACACCAATTTGCATGAGTATTTCCCTGAAATTGAAGACTCTGTCATCTTCCAAGTACAAAGCGAAGTCAGCTTGGGTCCCTGTGAGGCAAGTTCCCTGAAGAAACACAGTTATTAAATGTAATATTAGCTTTGTGTATGATTCACCTTTTGGATGCAGTCAGAATGAAAGTTGGGGATAAGTGTGGAATTAACCTTCTAAGCATTGAGTGGTTTGGTAACCTCATGGGTTTGCCAGGAAGCAGGTATCAGTGTTTCAGATCTACTTTCCTTTTAATGGTGTTGAACAGCCGACGTGGCAGAAACGATTTCACAATGCGCTTGGAATTCAGAGTAAGCTTTTCTGTGGTGACACTGGAGAAGAGAGAGAGGAACACGGCCTGAAATGTACGATTCGCCTCTTTGTGACCCCTGGTGAGCTGGTCCACGCCCTTGAAGGAAACCTGTAAAACTCCGAAGCGCGTTGGTCCACAGGGAAGACACGAGGGGCACTGGAAGCCAGCGTTTCACAAATAAACCCCACGGTCCCGCGTTAGTGCACATCAACGGGGGACGAGGACAGAAAACATGGGGACCCAGAGTGCCAGGCAGGGCCCGATTCTGGGGTTACTCTGTGCTTTATACACGCAGCGGCCCCTTTGCACAATAAAGGGCATGCCCCCCACCCCTACGTAGGCGTTGGGCCAGGACGGCCATTCCCCACTCCCTCACCCTCTGTCACAGAAGCGTGCTGACCTCCCATCCCGCCTAGGCCTTGGGGAGCTCCCCACCCCCACTTGTGTCCCGTCCCTATGACGGAGGCCCTGTCAGCTCTGCCTGCGCCCTTAGTGCCGATCTGGCCAGCCAGCCTGGCCCTGTCCTGTACCAAACGGTGTGTCGGTCCCTCACGGAGCGGTGGCCAGTGCAGCCAGGCCCTGCAGAGGGGCCACCATGGGGGCGGGGGCTGACTCGCCCAGGACAGTCATCCAGAAAACAGGTGCCCTCTGCCCCACACTGCCCTGCCAGCCCAACGGCACCCCGTTTCGGGCCATCGGGACCCTCCAGCACTGGCTCTCCCTCCTCATCTGTCCGCCCCTTACTAAGCCGCAGCCCCAAGCCAGAGGCCTTTGCCCACATAGACACGTGCCTGCATCCTTGGGCCCTGTCTCCGTCCGTGGAAGATCTCCCCAGGGCGATGAGGCCGCTGCTGTCCTTCCTCGGAGGCTCCATGTCGGGCTCCATTGTGCAGACCAGAGCCCAGAGCCCTAGGACAGAGTCAGGGACTCAGCAGCCTGGAGTCAGGGGACAGGCGTGGGTGAGGGGACAGGCGCTTCCACCTGGCACGGTGACCACCACCCGTGCCGTGGCCTGGCATCCTCACCCCTTGGATACATCCACGGGGCAGGGGTGCAGGGGTGTGACTCAGTCTCCTTATCTTTCAAAGTAGAGATAAAGCCCCCACCCTGCCCACCTCAGCTGGGAGTGCAGATGAGCTAGAGAAAGCGCTTTGAACATAGGCCAGGAAAGCAAATTAGAGTTTAAAGAGGTGGCTGGGCACAGCCCTCCTCTTCAAAGACCCAGAGCTGATATCATCACAGGTGAAACTGTCCTGAGACTCAGGTGAGGAGGATGCTGGACGTGGGCAGGGCGGGGCCTCCTGGGACCCCACACAGAGCTGGCCCAGCCCCCATCCTCCGGGGACCCTGTGCCCTAGGCCAGCACCTCACCGGGGCTCCCGCCCCACTGGCGTCCTGTGGACCTAGGACCCGGGGAGCTGTGGAGGGCCAGAGAGGTGCCAGTACAGCTGGCCCAAAGGGTGAGGTGGGATGGCCGGACCCCTGCCAGGCTCTCCTGGGCCCTGGGAAGATGCCCCTGCCGCTCCACTGGAGCTGCCAGCTCCCCTCACAGCCAGGCAGGTGGGAGCTCGAGGCTGTGCGAAGGAAGTGTGGCTGCGTCATGCTGTGAAGGCACAGGGACGCCTGAGGAGACACCACGATCACCCCACAGGCCACGAGTGGCTGTGTGCATTGCAGGACACATAACCACACAACGGGAGGGTGGCCCCGCACTGGGAGTGTCCCAAGGAAGCCGGCAGGGCCTTCCAGCCCTGGAGGTGGGGAGTGGGCGGTGGGGGGCACATCTACGTAAGACACAGGGGGCCTCGGGCCAGGGAGCTCCGCTCTGGAAGGATCTGGCTGGGCTGACTCACCTTAGGGAAGACGTGGGTGCCGAGGGGGTGGGGGCCCGTGCACCTTGGGCCACTTCATGACCTGGCCTGGCTCAGGGCTGTGTTGGTGCTGGTGGCCTGAGCTGGGGCTTCAGGCACCCTGGAGGCCTGGGGGTCTGCATTCAGCTGGGTGGTGACTGGTCCTTCCTGGGCCGCCTCCACTGGGACTAGATGCCCCAAAGAAGCCCCGGCGCCGCACAGAGCAGCCTCACTGGGCTTTCTGCGTGGACTATGGCAGCGCAGGACCAGAAGGTGGAGTTGGGCTGCCTGGGGATGAGGTGCCCATGAAGCCTTGATGGTGAGGGGCCCTGGACTGGCGGGAGAGGGCAATGGGCTGGGGTCAGTCACAGACCCTGGAGGCACCATCCCCGTGCTGCCAGCTCTCACTCAAGGGTGTGTCCTCCCCTCACTCTGCGCCCCCCCGCCCCACACACAGCTGTGGCACAGGACACAGGCTCTCAGGACGCCGTCCTGTCCGCCCGCCCACTCGGAGCTCAGGCTCGGCCTTCAGACTTGCACGGGTCAAGCTGTTGGTGCCTCACTGCCCCCAGCCCTGGTGGTGGGCCCTCCCTGGCACCAGGGCTGCACCTTCCCCTCCACCCTTCGCTGGTGCCCCCTCCAGAAACGCCCGCAGCCCCTTAGCATGCAGAGCCCCGCTCTCTGTGTCCTGGGTAACAGTTACCGCAGCACAGTGGAAGACGGGGCCAGGCACGTTGTGTTCATGTCCCAACTAGCACACACACACGCACACACGCACACATGCACATACGCACATACATGCACACACAGGCATGCACACGTGCACACAGCCACACACATGCACACACGCACACGCAGCAACACAGGCAGGCACACATGCACGCATGTACGCGCGCACACGCACACGGGCTCTGGGGCTTCTGTGGGAGGGATTGGGAGTCAGCTCAGCCTCCTCCAGGGCTCTGTGCTCTCCTCAGAGCACCTGCCCGCTGCCCCGGGTGAGTGATCTCTTGTTTGTGATTTCACCTCTTTTAGATGGAGGGGCTGCCCTTTCGTGCCACCTCCTGGACGTAGCAAAGGCTCATAAACTCTCTGCTCAGTTGTGTGGACTGTGAACTGGGCCAGACCTACGGCATCGCTCTCAGACGTTGGACGCCTTTAAAACTGAGGGGTGGCTGGATGGAACTGGACCCACCGGGCTGAGGCAAAGTTGAGGACTAAGGGGATGGGGCGTGGAGACACCAAGGAGGCGGAGTGCACGGGAGGCCTGGGGCTCTGGAGGGCACACAGACTCCTCTCCCATGTCCCTTCTATCTATGGCCCAGGGGTCCAGCAAGGCCATGCTGGAGCCAAGGCAGGAGGATGGGGTGCAGAGCCGCCAGCGACTGAGGCCCAATCTGGTCCTCTCCACGGCCTCTCCCTCCCCCCTTCGCACTCCATCCCCGTTACTACCGGCCGTGGGCTGCTGGTCTCCACGGTCCCAGGCGGTGTCTTCAGAGCCATCCCCTTGGAAAGGACGGGCGGAGACCTGTGTTCAACTGGGGACCCCATGACCGGGTGGTCTGAGGGCCGCTCCCCAAGAGTCTGCACGGTCGTAGGTGGGTTGCCCGGGCCTGACCCCGGTGGGACCCGTCTGGGGCGCGGTTCCGCTCGTCGTCGTCGTC